GCGCCGGGTCGGTGGTACCAGGCACGAGGAGCAGAGCCCAGCCGTGCGGGGGGGTTGAGTCCCTTCTCCCAGCGCTTCGGTATCAGGGCAAAGGCCCTGTGGCAGCGCAGCAGAAGGCACCTCACCGTCGAGGCTCTGGAGAGCTTTACCTGCTTTACCTGCTCCGTCGCCACGCGCTCTTTTTCTCCCTCTTTTATTCCAAGAGATGGAGCCGGAGGAAACTCCTGCGTAAAGAAGAGAGCCCTGCTCTCTGCAGGGCTTGCAAACATCCAAAGTCGGAAAACTCACTTCACACAACTGCGGGTGACCAAACAGAAACGTGTAGTGATTATATACTGCTACTGTAGTGCCCGTACCTGTACAGGAAAGCCACAAACTACTGAATTACAGTCTCTCAAAGAAGAGGACTTTCATTTAGAGCCTTATCTGACACTAAAGCAATCTGCTGGCCAAATTGTCTCTGATTCAAAACATAAATGCAGTACATATCCGTACTAACTGTTTAAAGTTCTCTTTTTCAAATAGCAAACTTTTTTTTTTTTTTTTTTAACCCTCATTTTTTGGAAAGTAGTTTTGGAAGCATTTTTGCAGAAACTTTCCATAGACAGTTCCAGCCAGCATGGAAAATTTTATCCCGATCTTTATATGTTGGTCTTGATAGCAGAAACTGTAAATGTGGGGAGTGTCAGAAACCATCTTTACTATAAGCCATCTTACTAGCTCTGTGGGGGAAAGTATAGCCACATGGTATCACATAAACATCTGTAGAGCTGGTACTGCAGTTAAACAGGAGAATAATGTTACGGAATATTTCATTTCACTTCTTAGAAGAGTACAGATGGGCCAGGATTAATCTAACATAACTTTAGGTACCCCAGGGAAGATGCCCAGTTAGGACCACCACCCAAAGCTCTTTTCTGAGCAGCGTCCCTCATCTTTTTCAGCTATCTGTAGAAATGTTTCACTGGAGGTGCGAGGCTGTACAAGAGTCTTGGTTTTCTTCATTAATTTCTACAGGCTCTTTATGAGAAGTGTACAGAAGATGGGCATAGACTACTTTTTGAAAACCTTTTGGGGGAGAAACAGGCATCTCCTGCTTAACTTGCTTAAGATCCAGACTGCCCTCCCCCCCAGAAGTAACCGCCTGTTGAGTATAGAGGGAGCACAAGAAAAACACTGTCACTAAGAAGCTTCACTTATCTTTGTAATGCTCATGAAACGGTACATGGCTTATGGTACACAGAGATAAGTAATACAGACTAAACCACGTGAAATGTCTGAGTTTATATATTTAAATGTTTATGTGTGTATCATCAATATACTCCATCCAAGGGGCGTATGAGAGCCCAGGTACACTCACCATACAAAATACAATATAATGAGTGTTTTAAGGTTCACTGGGTCGACCATTCTGCTAAGTAAAGCTACCCAAGCTGGCGGCAATTACAACACTGCCACTAGCAAAAAATTTGGATGGTTACTTCCATTTTACAAATGGGTGAAATTAAACCACAGATTCAGCTCTTAGTGAAAATAACACATAACACCTATGTCAGCTGGGATTTCAGGAGTCCCAGCCCTTTGCTTCTCAGTCCAGAGACTTCTCTAATGGAAATACAGACCTTACAGATGGGGAATTCTGTAAAACAAACGAAACAACAAACCCAAAAAACAGCTGACTGCCATAGACTCCCTCCCTTCAGGCATGCCTGTAATACATCAGATTCAGGGAGATTAAAAACATGGACAGATATTTCACCTTTTCTACACTAAAAAATTGAGGCGGCATGTGTTGAATATTCATTGCTAGCAGTTGCAGACTTTTGCACAAAGCAGCAGCCACATAATGAGCCTACGCATGGTAGAACAGTTAAAATTACAATCAGACATTGTTTTTTAAAAGTAACCCATTAAAATAATACCCTACATCTTGGCAAAGATGAAACGCGCCCAAGGTACACCTCTGAGACACTGAAGTTCCACACTTCTTCATTATTAATGATTCCAGTGGGTTATTTTCTTGAAAACGATAGATAGTATTTAATGTTTTGTTACCCTAGGGCTGCAGTACTCTGCTCGCGTATCTGCACGAAGCACCTTGCTAATGCCTGGGAAATGTGAGGCAAAGATAACGCTTATCGCAAAACTTCATCGCTTAGCAAGTGCAGTTTCATTTTCTATAGGAGCAAATTAGCACTATATAACACCTCTAGCCTACAAGCCATCAACACAAAAGATGTTTCAGGCACATTATAGCACTGGAAGACTTTGCAAGGCCTGTCAGTACACTATTCAAAGAGTTATTAAGCGCATGAATTTGGGATTGTTGGAGTTTGAGGGGGAGGTGGCTGCATCTCTTTCATATACTAACATGATCGGAAAGGAGAGGGGTTTCTTGGCTGCTATAAATTAGCATTTTCAGCTCTGAGTGTGGTCTCCCAGACACAGTTTATAGCTGAAGCCATACAGGTTTTTTTGTTCCTACATCCAGCGGATAATAAAAGATGGAAAGTTACTGCATGCTTTTATCTCAGAAATATAATGAACAGAAATACCACCCCATGAGAGCTTTGCTTACACTGCCGTTATCGCAGTGGCCCGAGCAACAGTTGACTCTGACCAGGTTTTTCTCAGCAACTGCTCATTTTGATTCTCCGAATTGCTAAGACCACCAACTGCAGTAACCAGTGGATAATGGGAGCTGTAAATAAGGTGCAGACGCTGTCCTTTGTAGAAGGAAGCCATCCATCACTGTGCAGAAGAAATGGAATGAGATCACCCCAGAAGAAGTGGTTATCTTAATTCTCGGCTGAAAGTCCCTCTTGCAGGCCACCCAGCAGCACTCAGTAATAAAAACCTGTGTTTAACAGCTCAGTTTTATATGAATAGTCTGTTTTGCCCCATCCAGGTAAGCATATGATCAGTTGGTGAAATCTGCCTCCCCAACACAGATTTTGGCACACTGGTGAACTCAGGACGCATTTCACTGCCCCACCCTATAGCAGCAACGTTTGATGCTCCAGGATGGACTCCCAGGTTGGGAGTTTCCATCAGCCTTACACCAACCTGCTTGTAGCGTTTGTCTGCAGCACGGTGCTAAAACACCTCAAGTCTTTGTTACACAACTGACGGAAGGATTTGAATTCTTCAAGCGTAGGTATGCTTTGTCCACACTAGGGAGCGGTACCTTCACTTCGCTAGAGGTAGAGAAACTCATTTTGAGGAACTGTGAACATTCGTACCCCATAAGAGCACCTGCGTTGATACACACCCACTCAAACACCCACACTCAGAAGACCAAGTATTTTGCCAGGGTGAATCCATGATAAGACTTGTACAGGTGCAGTTTGGCGGAGCAACCATCACACACCTAAGCAAAATTACACGGTATCTTAGCTGATTGGCAGCTCAGTTTTGTTCTTAGTTTTTTTTTAAAAAACTGGCTAAAATTTTGCAGGGAGAAAACCTTTGTTTTAAAATAAAGAATGACAGTTTATGGAAGTATTTTTCAGGATTTTACTGCAAACCAATGGGTTTGGTCACAAAAAAATAGGATACATATAACCATGTTAATTATATTACATTACAATGATGGTATACATTACAAGTAAGTCTGTAAGTTTAAATATACATCTAGAGTTACAACTCAATGTACAGATCTTCTTTACAGTACATACAATCAGGAATGAAAAACCCCCCAAACCATAAATAATGCCCATTTTACAGATGACATCTTTTAAACTAAAAAAGAAAAAAAAAAGAAACCAACAGCTTTGACCGACTGCAGCTGGGGCATTTTGGTCCATAAAAACCCTTTCTAAAAATAGAAATCTTTTTTCATAGCAGCAATGCTTTCTTCAAGCATTTGGATACAAGTAATTGTGAGCCCATTTTAATATTTCTAGTTGACTGTATAGATTTACAAAAGAAATTTCAAAATTACACTTAATTTATCTTCCAAATATGGAAGAAACAAACAATGCCCCACATTGTGGTATCCTGCAAGTGTCCCATTGATGCTTTAAACTAAGTCCATCTGTAGTACGCAGACCACACGCATACCATTTGTTCACATAGTAAACCCACATAAATGAACTGAGAAACACACTCTGCAACAGGGAAAGCTTTGGAGCTCACAAGATCTCATCAGAAAAAGGCACATTTCATAAAATCCTCATCACGTTCACATAGATCTTCAGGCAAGGCTTTTCGGAGCATGATTTCAAAACATCTTGTTCTTACTCCTACGATCTGCTGTAGGAGTCTATGGCAGCAGTCACTCTTGTTTTTCTTTCCCAAGGAGACAGCACCACTTTGGGGGAAGAACGAATGGAAATGAAAAGCCTGTAAAGCTCATTTAGAGAGTGATGTGCTCTTCAAAAAAGCTTCCAGCAAACAGTGTAGTTGAAATTAAGGCTGCAAAGCTGCCATGGTGGAAATGTGCAAATTCTCTTTCAAGATGACTGGTCAACTGGCAGTTCCACCAGAAGGCCAAACAAAAATAAAAATAATAGTTATTATTATTTAAAAACGAACGAAAGAAAAATGTTCACAAGAAAGAGTCCACGGGCGGAGCATAGGAGAAGCCCAAAAAAGCCTCAGCGGCTTCTTTGACGCTGGCGGTGATGAGGATGCTGTCCGGGGACTGGCCGATAGAGTTGGGGACTGGCTCATCGGTAAACTCCGGATCGAAGTGTCGCAGGTCACTGGGGCCACTCTGTGGAAAGGGCAGAAAAGGAAAGACGCAACATTTAGACCCAAATGTTTTCCAAGTGCACAGTTCAATTCAAAATGGGGACAAGCACCCTTGTGCAGAGACTCACAGTGTTATCACCTCGGGCCCACTGTTAAACAGCCTTTGCCAGTTTTAGTTTGACCTTTTTTTTGTATCCTGCTGCATATTGTCTCACTAAAAACAAGATGATTCAATTTAATACGCTACCCTCCAACTAAGCTCATGCAACAAAAGCCAAATGCAAACACACCACTCTGCCATGCAGCAGTTTGCAGGGGAGGACTTTGATCTCTGGTCCAGTTATTAAATTTAGTTTATAAAATGCTCAGAAAGTGAACGAGAACAACCTCCACAACCAGATCCCTCTCTTTAGTTGTTAGTATCTGACAAGTCAAATGTAACTCTGCCCTTGGCAAGCTACTTGCTTTCTACACCTTACCTTCCCCTTTGGCAAAATGGGGATGCTGGGGATTATTTCAAAATAGCCATGCAAATGAAGCATTTGTGAGAGGCCAAAAAACCCAGCTAAATTTAGACTGTCCATCAGCAAAAAGCCAGCTACCGCTTATTTTTAACCTTGCCTGGACAGTCACCAGGGAAGGAAAAGCTGTGTTCCCCAAACACAGCCATCCAGCCAGTCCCCCTGGCTCCCGGGTACCCCACAAAGACAAGGGGGGAAAAGACACTCTCCATACATTCTATAATTAGAAGTGATACATACCACATTTGGGTTAAAAGGGGGTGTAATCTTCTTATTAATGAGATCATCCCAGTTAATTGGGGAGAAGAAGATGTGATTCTTAATCTCCATCTGTTACAGAGAGAAAAATAGACTCATTCAGACTCAAGCTAATGCAAGCAGCATGGCCGAGTC